ATTAGATTGCAGCACAGTACCTGTAATACCTACAGCGTGCTCTAATCGCTCTAATAGGATATTATGGTCGACAGTATCGAACGCAGCACTGAGGTCTAGCAGGACAAGCACAGAGATGAGTCCACTGTCAGAGGCCATAAGAAGATCATTTGTAACCTTCACTAAAGCTGTTTCTGTGCTGTGATGAGCTCTGAAACTCTCCAAATAAGCCTCTGCAGATGATCTGTTAGCTGTTTGACAACTACTCTTTCAAGGATGCTTGATATGAGAGGAAAGTTGGAGATTGGCCTATAATTAGCTAAGACTGCTGGGTCTAGAGCTACATTCTGTATTACACATAAAGTAAGATATCCAAAAGTTTATTGGTATTAGAAGATATATAAGACTAAGACAACAGAGAGGAAGCATTTTGTATTCAGAAAATGAATATCACTGGCTTTTTAAATATGTTCAGCTTGATTTCTTAAGGTTACTCTGCAACTCAGAAGAGCAAAGTGTGTAGAATGGGGATGTCAAACTAGTCTTGAACCACATACACCCTGCTTTGGTCTCATGTGGGCTGTATAAAACCCAGTAATGTTTCTGTTATTTAATTGTTTAAAACTTAATTACTTTCATCTTTTATGAATGGCCATGTGTCAGGTCCTTATCAGTAGGAAACATCCAAAATTTATGCCATTCATGCTCACGTTTTCCAATTCCAGTGTGCTGGATTGGAATCTGTGCCAGGACACCCCTCTTCAAGAGTGTAGTTCATTGTAAAGTAGCTCGCTTTTGTTTGTTATACTAAAAAAAAGTCATGACAAAATAATCATAAACGAATGTATTATTTTGTATTTCTTTATCTAACCGTCTTTTTCTTCTGACTAACCATTTAAATGCTTACACATTTCACTTGTCTGGGACTTTGATAACAAGTGGCTGTAGCTCAAGAGGTAGAGCACGTTGCTTCCTAGTTGGAACATGGGTGGTTTGATCCTTGACTGCATGCCAAATATCCTTGGGCAAAATACTAACCCCAAGTGAATGTGCATGAATATCAGTTTGAAAGCATAGAAAAAAGTTCTATTGTGAAAGGGTGACTGAGGCATATTGTATTGAGTGCTCAGGTAGAGTAGAAAAGCACTTTATAAGAAGCAGCTCATATACTATTTTACTGAAACCTATGCTCATTTCCAGTTTGCTTATTGTAGGTTTTAAAGTTGGGCAATTGGAAAAATATATGGACTATCGTTGATGGGCTGCCCTGTCGTTGATAGTTTTTACAAGGGCCATTTATTTATTTATTTGTCCATGAGTAATTTTTTTGATAATGTTGGTTGAAGCCAACAGAAGCAGTCAACAGAAATAAATAATAGCGCTGTTTTAACGGCACCCTCCTCGGAGTGCACTCAAATGCAGCAGTGATTCATTTACTCAAACTCATAACAGAAAAAAGAACAGCAGTAGCCTATGTTCAGAAAAAAAGCCTTTTATTTAAATAAAAACGTATCTGTCACTCGACACACACTCGACCAAACAACAAATTAGCTAAAAATCAAAATGTCTCTTCCAGCAAACATTAAAAAAAAATCTCCAACGTAAACATAAGTCTTTTGTGCGATTTGGCGCATCTCAAATAAATAAATAAATAAATAATCCAAAAAGTAGCTACATTATTACTGAAACAAACAAGAAAAGAAGGTAAAATATTCCCTCCAAACAAAATGCATGAATTCTTTGACAGGAAATCAAGCATGTTTACTTTCTCAGGTTTTAGCAGTGTGCACAGGTGGTTAACAACATTACCAGCGGTGTTGAAGACGCGTTCTGAAAGTGTGCTTGTTGCTGGTACACGCAGATATTTTGGTGCCATGTGTGACATCAATGGGAAACGTTTTTCATTTTCCACCAAACCAGTTGATTGTCTTCTCCATCTATGACCATCTCGCTGAGATAACAGTCCATTTCTCCTCCAGTGTGCAATTTGGTAATTAGTTTGTCCATGGTTGGACTTCTGTGTTCTAAACGCACAAAGTCCATGCATGATTACATTGCTCTGCCCATCGAAAAGTCTGCGCGTGCGCGACTATATGACCTATCGTCGGCTATAGGACTGACGATTGTTGGCTGCAAAATTTTACATATTGCCCAACCTTAGTAGGTTTGTACTAAAATAGCTTTGCATTAATCACACTACACAGTAGGGGTTGATGGTGTCATCAAGCTGCGCCTGTTTTTGCGCCTGTTCTGGCCGAAAGCATTGCAGCGGCTGCAAACAATATCATCTCCAAATAATGCCGGGCGACAGTAAAAGCAAAGAGACGAAACACGTTTTGGAATATGAGAAAAGCCAAAAACTGCACTTCCTCCACTTCCCTACCTTTGATTCATTAATGTTGAATTCTCTCACAGCTGCTCTATTCCCATGTTGTTGCAGTATATTAATGACTAACCTCGTATTGTGGATGGATTATCTCAGTTGTTCTCCTGACTGAAGTTTGGTCCGTTTACAGCATCCTGCCATGCGATTGCATTTGTCTCTAACCATCAGGAACCCTCACATTAACTTTTATTGAGTGGAAAAAAGTTAGTGTTCATCCTCCAGCTTCACTGTGTTTATGTTATGCTAACATAGCTGTGTTGCTAGCAATCACGTAGCACAACATTATATAGCAGCTAACCCAACTTCAGTAACCCTAAAAAAGTCACTGCTGTTTATTTTTCTGTCTTCATTTATGTTGGAAGTGATAGCAGAGCTGTACGTTTAATTTTTTCAGAAATCTCTCAGTCAGAACATGGTATGTCATGTTTAGGTGGAAACTAGCGAGCTAACTTCCTGCTAACTTCCTGCTAACTTCCTGCTAACTTCTAACTCTGTTAAATTTAATAACTTCTGTTTTCATGGATGCCTGGATGTTAAACTAATTGTTAAACCTGGTAAAGCAGCAACGCTGATGATTTTATTAAAGATGAAAGAATGTAGACAGTTTTTAACTCTCAGTGATGCAGCAGTGTTCGTTAGACTTTGGGACCTGAAGTGGATGGCGTTTTGGACCCAGATTACTCTGCGAGACTGCGATAGCTGTCATGCTCTGACAATCCATCAATCGGTGCAGCTTCGTGGCTTAGCAAAGTCGTACTAAAACAGTTTTAGATAGATTTTTGAGCGCCATGTACCACATAGAATCGGTTTGAGGTCAGTAAGCACAACCAGAAATCATAAATAAGGCTCACTGTCGATTTTTGAGAAAATTAAAGAATTGTAAGTGCGCCTTATAGTGCGGAAAATATGGTATATAGAAGAAAAGAATATATCACGATATATATCGTTACCGCACGTGCTTCAAATTATACCTCAATATGGATTTTAGGCCATATCACCCAGCCCTACTACACAGGAATCCTTGTTGTCTTATATTCTATATTAAGTATACACTTGACCACAGTGAGATACATACTGTGCACTGAATTGTGTGAACCTGTGGTAAAATGAAGAATGATATTGTAAGCATCAATGCTGTGCCTCACACAGGAGGGTAAAAGGTCAAAGTCAGTTTCAGAACTGCTCAAATACAGCACTCACAAAGAGATGAAAGAACTATGGTGTAGCTCAGACCTGACCCAGGTTTAAAAATACATCCTGCTCTGTTACAATCACTTTGTAAACTGAGGCAGCAACAGGTAACATGAGTGTGAATTCAGTCTGTCACTGTGAGACGTGTCGATAATTTCCTTTGTTACTGAAAATTGTGCACTTTTCACATTTAGTATGGATTTAAAGCCACTGATGTGAAAATGTCATGAAGAGCCATGTGTCCCTCTGTCCAAACACACCCACCCACTCTTCTGTGTGACTTCAGTGGATGTGAGAGGGCCTGGTAGTAAAGCTGTGGAGCTCCCACAAAGAGTCAAAAGAATACATTGTGTAGAAACTCCCAGTTCACCGAGTTTGAGAACAGCGGCTCCAAACGGGAGGAATTTGGACTTGCAGGAGTTAGAGAGAGAAGGGAAGCGCTGCGCATCACTGTCATCATAACAAACCACACTAATGCTGTCTTGAAATATCTTTGGTGATTTTTCCTTTGCTGCATTTGAGCTGCAAAACTCTTGTTTTTTTTCTTCACTTCAAAAGTGCAACTTTTGCAACAGCAACAGTCATTTTCTCATGACTAGCAGTTTGCCCTTGTGCTAATTCAACCAACATTTCCTTTTACTACAGTCGTGCTACAAACCACAGAGCTACAATATAGACTGCGTCTGCATCTGTGTAGATGGATATTTATAGGCTACTGATACATGTTCCTGTCCTGAGGTCTTGATGGCCCTCTGCTGTCTGTCAGCGTAGACCATGCATCACTTCAAAGGACCATGCTGATGTTCTTTGGTTGGTGACCACGCTGGAGTGTAGATTTTTCTTTCCTTCTCTGTCACTACAAATTCTATTGTAGACGTATACAAAATCGATTTATATGCATATGCTGTTAAAGAGCCAGAAGAAAAGTTTTGAATATTTTTCAGTAATTTAGTAATCAGGTTTTTTTCAAAAGGCAGCTTCAAATTTTTTACTTTTAACTGTTTTTTCACTTTTAGTCTTTTTACTGAAAAAGACGCCACCATGAGATGTCATGACCTCCCATAGACCTAAGTATGTAATAGATAAATAATCAGGAATTCTGGCATTTTTTAATGTTAACATCTCATGAAATAGAAAAAAATTTCCTTTTTAATTTACTATTTATTTTATCCCGTCTTTTCTTTTTTTACAGTTGAAAACGCTGAAAGCTAAATTTGCTGCACAAGCAGTTTTTTATAATGTGGAAGAACAGACCAGTTGTTGAAATTGTACTTCATTTTTGGAATTAGGATGATTTAATCCTAATTCTTAAAATTTACATTTCCAAGATGAATAATCTACCCAAACTTTTTCCTCACAGCCATTGGCCACAGCCAATCACACTTTAGTTCATGTGCAGAAGGCTGTTCCTCGCCATTAAAAAGTATTTCCTCTCTCATTTCAGCTGCGTCGATGTTGATGAAGACGATGCTCCAGACATCGATATTTATCACTGTCCAAACTGCGAGAAGACCCACGGCAAATCCACATGTAAGGAGTTGCACTGATTCAAATGATTGAAATTCGCTGTGGTGTGATCATTCCACATCTTCTCATTTGCTGGAACAATTTAGATTTGATTGCTGTCAAGTTCTGACTGATTCTTTCTGTTTGCTCTCTAGTGAAAAAGAAAAAGAACTGGAGCAAACATGACACAGGCCAAAGCACAGATATCAAAGCTGTTCAGAACGGCAGTCAGGTCTTCATCAAGGAGCTCCGCAGCAGAACGTTTCCGAGGTAAAAACACAGAACAACTCCTTACATGAGAACAATCGCATTACAGTTCCTTTTTTCATGTTCTTCCTCTACAGTAAGAAAACTTTAGGCCTCTGTGAGTTCCTTTTTTGTATCTTTTAAATTTATTTTGGGTTACACTTTGTTAAACAGACAAAATGAAAAGTCAGTCTTGACAGTTCCATAAGGAGGGTTAGAAGTGAAACTGTGAAACCAGCTGGTCGACGTTAAGAGATGAAAAAGAAAAAGAAAACTTAAAACCAGATGAGTCTGGTGCTGTCGGAGGTTTCTTCCTGTTAAAAGGGAGTTTTTCCTTCCCACTGTCGCCAAAGTGCTGCTCATAGGGGGTCATGTGATTGTTGGGTTTTTCTCTGAATGTATTGTTATAGGGTCTACCTTGCAATATAAAGCGCCTTGAGGTGACTGTTTTTGTGATTTAGCGCTGCATAAATAAAACAGAATTGAATTGATTGCTTGACTGTATCTGGCCACACCCCTAATGACCCAGGCATTCATACTATAAAACATCACACATGGGATTTTGCAATGTGAAAAGTGTAAACAAATCAGTGTGTGTCATGTTTATTTTAACCACAGCTTCATAAGACCATCACCTGGTACAGTTTATTGTAAAGAACAAATTGACTTTCTTGCTTTAATGTGTTTGAGACCATCAGATGTGTTGTGCTCAGGTGGTGTTGTAAATATGTGGCTCGACTTAAATAATATGAGATAAAATGGTGAGAGTAAAGCTTTCTTTATAATTGAAGTGATCATATTTATGACTCAAACTGATGAAGGAATATTGCGTGTATTGTTCCGGGTTTGAATAACTCCACTAGGGGGCACTGCCTGGTAACATTTCAAAGACCTGCTTTCAGATAGTGTCACATGCTGCTCACATAGAGCTCAGATGTGATTCTGTTTCTTCAGCTTAGAGCACATTAAGGATGTTCTCTCCTCATCTGGCTGTGTGTGCTTATTAGTGCTGATGACATAGTGGTGAAGCTCAGTGGCAGTCAGCTGACCATGGATTACCTGGAGGAGAACGGCTTCAATGAACCAATCCTGGTTCAGAAGAAAGACGGTTTGGGCATGTCCATGCCCGCCCCCACCTTCTACATCAGTGATGTGGAGAACTATGTTGGTAAGAACATCTGTCACCAAACCATACACACTGAAAAAAAGGGATTGGCCAGCTCTTGGATTTATGTAAGCATCTTGCGTGTATTTAACACAATTGCCTCATGGTTTAAAGTTAAGTGTAACTATATAGTGTAGAAACTACATAATATGCAGAGCGGGAAGATTAAATTGTTCATATCATGTTCGAGTGAAGTAAGTCAATAATATAGCAATGTTAAATCTTGCGACACTGCACGGGATTTCAGTCTTGCACGCTTTGGATCGTGGTTTGAGGAAGGCATCCATCTCAGTCAAGTCGAACAGCTGCCTCTACTTTTTTTGGTAAACCGAAAGAAGTAAATTGGGTGGTTGTTACATTAAAAAAAAGTCTACCTTGTAATTTGAACACAAAATTTTCATGTTTCTATCTTGAACGTAATTAAATCATGTAGGATCTGTACGAAATTCAACAACTTAATTTGTTCTTGTTGAGATGACCTGATACAATCTAGTAAGAGTGGTTATTTGCTGGACTCATGAACATTAACAAGATCACATGAGATTTCAAACTGCAGGAAAATCACTAGAACGTCTTGATGCATTCTCAGTCATCCAGGAAAGTAAATCTCCAAAAGTTGATTCTGTTCATCTGGACGTAGCATTTTGTGGGATGAGTGACGAAATGTTTCTCCCACAAAACGCTACGTCCAGATGAACAGAATCAACTTTTGGAGAAAATCACTAGAGTTACAAGAGGCAGACAACTACAGACACACACACAACGTGTATGCTATTGCTTTTTATTGTGTTTTAACCTGCATGTCAAGGACAAAAACGTACAGAAAATTCCGCATCAAGCCTTGAAATCATAGCTTTCCTACTTATGTCCAGCCTGGATTGGTGACATGGTGGTTAGCGCTGTTGCCTCACAGTAAGAAGGTCCTGGGTTCAAATCCACAATATGGATAGTTTGCACTGATTTCTCTCTGGGTATCCTGGTGTCCTCCCACAGTTAAAAGTCATGCAGTTACAAGAGTTAGCTTAGGTTGATTGGTGATTCTAAATTCACCATAAATGTTAATGCAAACGGTTGTTTGTCTCTATGTGATTGACTGGTGAGCTGTCCAGTGTGTACCATTCCTCGTAACCTAGCCCCCCTGCAACCAGGATAATGATAGGAGGATGTTAGTTGTTGTAGACCCATTCAACTTTCATGTTAACCAGACTCTAGACCAGGGGTGTCAAACTCAAATACACAGTGGGCCAAAATTCAAAACTGGAACAAAGTCGCGGGCTAACGTTAATATTTATTGAAATATATTTATTCCTCCAGATATAAGAATGAATCTTTTCTTATGAACTCAAACACATTTTGCTGAAAAACTGAATATGGAACAACCAAAGCTTAATACTAAACAATATATATATATTAGCTGTGTAATACCAGTAGGCCAGCTCTAATAGTAATTTGGTATGGCTTCGTGGGCCAAATGTAATTAGGCTGCGGGCCAAATTTGGCCCACGGGCCAGAGTTTGACACCTATGCTCTAGACTTTGTTGAACATTATGTAATATGAAGTCAACATGTAGTATTTAAGAGATCAAGCAGTACTGTGGTAAAGGTTATTGAATAGTGTTGAAATAAAATGACAAAATTGTGAAGGATTAAAATATTCCAAGAGCTCAACTTACTGCATCTAAACATGTTTCAATCACGTTTCATCAACACAAAATGCACAGGTTTATTGACTATGAATAAGTTGAGTTGATTTAACTCAGTTGTTTAAGTTTCTGCCAAAGCAAAACGTTTGTGTGCAACCAATGTCCACTATTGAATCAAGTAAATCCAACATGGCCTTTTTTTCAGTGCAGTACTATAACTGAAGCTAGTACTAATCCTTCTATAACAACCACTGCATTCACAGTTACTTCTACTGAGGCAGCCGCTATTGCTCTTTCTATTACTCTTCTAACGTCAGCCACTGCTGCTGGTGCATTACAACAGCATCTGTTTGTTACTACTTTATCTGCTCTTGCTGACATATTGCAGTATGTCCTGAAAGTCATATAAAAGAATTATAAGTAAAGATATCTAACAGCCCAGGACAAGTACATGCAAGTCCATGAAGGAGAACGAAAACACAAAGCTTACTGTGAGTACTTGCAAAATACTTGATTAAAACAAAATGGGAAAGAGAAACAAAACAAAAATATGCAAACAAAAAACTGTAGTGTAGTAACATTAAAGGTAATTTAACAGTAATAATGATATTGAACCTGTAGGCTGAGCGTTAACCTTTCAGCTGACACCAGGTTACACATGTCAGAATTGACATTTGAACAAGAAGGTGGACTGCTAAGTTGTCAGCTAATGTTAGCCAGCTTAGCTAAGTGCTAAGTAACAGCTAAAGAATACTGGAATTTCACTCACTTTAACTGAAGAACACACGTCTTGAAGCGTAGCTCATAGCATTTGTTAGCCATTCAAACCTGCTGTTTCCAAACGTTCAAAACAGTTCACTGCATGAAACATTGTGATTATTATCTTTTGAGAAAATTTAATGTGATTTGGCTTCTTGTTGTTGGATGGAGATGCATATTATTATTGGAAGAGATCCATGTTAATATTATAAATGTTTTTTGCTGTAATTCTGCGTTTTTCACTGCTGAGAAAAGTTTCGTTTGCTGACATTAGATCTTCTACTCTTAACATTTTACAAAGCGTGCAGATCGCCTGTTTTAACAGTCATAAGAGCATCTTCATTTACAAACACGATTGAAGCCAACACCGGCTGTGGCTTTAAAATGCAGCACGTGTGTGAATATGAGAGGGAAATGTTGGCACAACGAATGACTAATGTCATTTGTTTTAGTCGATGACCTAAAACTAAAACAAATGACATGATTAAACAAAAAGCTGTACAATGCTCTCTGCGCTTCAGTAGGGGGCGCGCGTGTTCTTCTTGTCTTCTCTGTGCTGCAGACATTTTCTGTTAAACAGTTTTCCGCCTAAAGAAAATGTTTAGCCTGTAGGTGGTTACTCTTCCTTCAGCTCGTTTTATTGTGTCTTCCTCACCCCTGGCCTTTGTCTCAGGTCCCGATGTCAGCGTGGATGTGGTGGATGTCACGAAGCAGACAGACAGCGAGATGAAGCTCAAAGAGTTTGTCGACTATTACTACAGCACAAACAGAAAGAAAGTATTAAACATCATCAACCTGGAGTTCTCTGACACGAGGTACTAGCTCTCTGCCCGAAGGCAATGTTTGAAAAATGAGATCTGGCTTCTAAAGATGCCGGCTGCATGGAAAACTCACAGTGCTAATTTCTTTTTCTGTTTGTCTGGGACAGGATGAACAGCATAGTGGAGAGTCCACAGATTGTGCGGCGGTTATCTTGGGTAGAAAACTACTGGCCCGATGACGCTCTGCTCGGGAAGCCAAAAGTCACCAAATACTGTCTAATCTGTGTTAAAGACAGCTACACAGACTTCCACATCGAGTGCGGTGGCGCCTCTGTCTGGTACCACGTTCTCAAGGTTAGAGAAGTGTGTCGGGATGATGGGAAGTCAAAATATATTCGGCACTGATTCTGAGGCTTTGACAGGAAACACGGAATTTATTTCACTCCTTTGCTCATATGATGGCGATGACGCTGGAAATTGTGATTATGTTTGCAGGGAGAAAAGATCTTCTTCCTCATTAAGCCCACCTCGGCCAACCTGTCTCTGTACGAGCGCTGGAGGTCGTCGTCCAATCACAGCGAAATGTTCTTTGCTGACCAGGTGGACAAGTGTTACAAATGCACATTGAAGCAAGGCCAGTCCCTGTTCATCCCATCAGGTCAGAGCTGGTCTCCTCTCATGAGTCTAGATGAACATGTTTCGCTCTTTTCCTGTTCTCATGAATGAATGGGACAGACAGAAGCCTTGTTGACTCAATCACAAGCAGGAATCACACTTCCCGTGTCCGTGAGTCCACTTTGGTCTCAGTGATGTAAATTTTATCATCAGACGGTCGGCACGAAGGCCAATGCGGACATGCCTGCCAGTTTTTTTCTTTCCCAAGGGTAGTTTGAGGTGTAGCTGAGCGTCAAGCAACCGACCTTCTGATCTGCTGACGACCTGCTCTTCTTCCTGAGCAGCAGCTAGAATAGAATAGAATAGAATAGAATAGAATGCCTTTATTGTCACTATACAGATGTAAAATGAGATACAGAGCATCTCCTAATCAGTGCAAACATGTGGGAAAAGAAGCTAACTTAGCTAAGTAACAGCTAATAAGATAGTCAGTATGAGCCCCTTTTTACTCATAGCTCAGCTGTTATCTTCAGCTGGTGCGTCATGTATGACGTTGGCCTGATTTACACATGTGCGGGGAATCTTTGTAGAGCCTGTATCTTCGGGGTTTTTAGTTTTTTCCCCAGAAGCAAATATAATTGTCCTTCAGGTTTTTCAGCTCTTTGTACACTCCCTCACATCTCTTCTCCCTCTAGGAATCTGCTGACAGTTGTGATTCTTGTATCAATGCTGTGATTATTGTTCTTTATACTGAAGCGATTATTGTTGTTCTCTCACTGATGAATTCAAAAAAAGTATTTGGAAATGCACAAGAGGACTCAGTGGTCCAGAACAGGCCGATCACAGTAGTTGCAGACTGTGTCAGCCCCGACGTGTAGTTACATTTCTCAGAAGGTGCACTTCCCAAAGTAAACTGCAAGCCGCTTTGCAGTCCACTTTCAGCAGCTTCTCCTTTTCACATTGTTTAGGACTTGTTACTTGGTCTGATCTGATACTGAACTGCAGTGACCGATATTTTTGCCACATAGCCTAAAATTGGACTCTCTTATTTTAGCCTTATCTTGTCTTAAAACCAGAGAGGACAGATCGCCATGTGGCTAGTCATAAAACATGCATATACTGGTGCTGTCAGCGTTAATCTCGTTAAAATGACGTAAACGCCACAGACGCATTAACGCGGCAAATCTCTGTTAGCAAGTTAACGTGGCTCGCCCCGTGTGAGGGGCTGCACGGCATCAACGCATCAGTGCGGTTAGCTCGTTAACACGTTAGCGCCATGCAGCCCCTCCCACAGGGCGATCTGCGTTAACTCACTAACAGAGATTTGCCGCGTTGATGCGGTTATGGCGTTAACGTCATTTTAGCGAGATTAGCGCTGACAGCACTAGTATACAGGTAATACTTCCTTAACAATAAAAATGCAAGAAATGTTGTTTGCATTGATGTTATTCTTGTAAATACTGGATGATTATCTTGTCTCATCTGGTTCCTTCAGGTTGGATCAATGCAATACTGACACCTGTCGACTGTCTGGCGTTCTCTGGACACTTTGTCCACAACCTCAGTGTGGAGATGCAGATGAGGTTTGGGCACCTTCCTTTTCACACACATTCATTCTTTACGCTTGTTTTTAGTGCACTGGGTTATAACGTGATCCACCACCGTGCCTCCTGCAGACATTCCTGTGGTGATCTAGTGTGACCTTAAAGGCCTCGGTTGATATTATTCAGTAGTTTCCAATTCTTTCCTGCTCCAAATTCCACCAAATCTGTTTATGAATTCTCCCTCTTTGGAAGTACTTTGTGAATTCCATCCTTTGTTAGTAATCCGTGATGATGTTTAGCTGAAACCTTTTTTTTATCTTCCTCAGGGCATATGAAATTGAAAAACGGCTAAAGGTCAAAACTCTCACTCCTTTCCCCAACTTTGAGACGGCGTGCTGGTATGTGGGGCGACACCTCCTCGAACGATTCAAAGGTGAAGTCTCAAATCGCGTCGGTGTAGTTATAGACTCCGGCTTTGCCCCGGTGTGTGGTACTCTAATGTAAACACTCATCCTCGTTTCACTCGATATTTCTCCAGAGGAATGCGTGAATGTGGAGAAAACACAAACACTGTCAGAAATGCATCTTTTTTTCTGGGCTGCACATTCAGCATGTGGCTGCATGTCTGCAGCGCAGATGAGGAGCTGGATGCTCTAATATTATTTCAGTCATTAAATCGGTGAATCGCAGAGTTCACAGATGATTAGCTTCAAAAGGTTTGGCCCAGCTAGAATCACTTGCTCCATTACAAGCCTGTGTTTAAACTCCCTTCAGCTGGCGTGGCCCAACTGTTTATGTTTCCAGCATTTTCTGTGTATGTTCATGTGTTAAAACCAGATTGTGATTTTGTGTGGTGCACGCCACCTCCAAACTATAAAGCTCTGTCATTAATATGCCATTATTCTTTTGAAAAGCCACCTATTATGCTTTTCCTTATTTTCTGTCATATGTAGTATACGGTTCAGTCGTGGACACACATATTGAACGTGGCTTCAAATAATGAGTTCAGTGTATTTGCATGTAATCCTTCAGACGGCTCTCTCAGGCAGTGATTTTCTGCTCTCCTCAAAGATAGGAAATACACCCCAATATGGTAATCCCAGAAGCCCCACCCACTAGTCCTTTGTTTGTGAGGGGCAGCCAGTCACAGGAAAGTCAGTTTACAGAAATGGTGGCCTTAAAGGGAGAGGCTTCTTTCACACAGAGCTGCGCTAGGCTCAGCGTGAGATAAATAGGGATTGTGAGTCATGAAAAGCTGGTCTAGTAGAAGATAATATCCAGAGTAAATCAGCAAGATGATGGTGGCTTGCACCTTAAGAGCTTTAACATGCCGCTTGGCTGTGTTGGGGTTGATCTGCACGTCTGAATTAAGGTAACAGGACAGTGTTGTCTAAACACAAAGTCGCCCTGTTGATGGGAGTCCCTCTTCTGTACACTGAGGAGTGCAGTAGCTTTATCTTCTCTCAGCTGTTCTCCTGTTGATCAAAGGCTTATTTCAGTTAGATCCTGTAAATCTCGCCACCACTGGGAATTTACACTGTCCGTTGTGCCCTTTTTAACTGCAGTAGTCCCAGCTGCTCACAGTTCAAAGGCCACGATTCACTCGGTGATAAAATTTGCATTCTTTGCTCTGTAGGTTTACATAAAGCGAATAAGCAGCCAGCTCCATACCTGATACATGGTGCCAAAATCATCAATGGAGCCTTTAGAGCCTGGACTAAAAAGCAGGTATGGAGGCAACTAAATACAAAATAGAGTGTATCTAGTGTCATGTATCTGTCTATTTTCTTAGAAACTTTTTTTGTATTTGTTTTGTTTTTTGTAACAGGCTCTCCTGGAACATGAAGATGAGCTTCCAGAGAACATGAAGCCATCACAACTCATTAAGGATCTTGCCAAAGAGATCAGATTGTCAGAGGTATTTTTATTTCTAGGTGGTAATTTCATAGTTTTTTGGCTCCAGGAGAAATTAATGTTTCATATTATGACATATAGGAAACCATAGAGGTTTGTCTAGAGGACGATGCCTTATTTTTGCTAATCAAAAAGCTTAATATTCATATTTGTTTTTTGCAAATTAACCCTTTCCACTTAGGCCTCTCCATAAACTCTCAAATGTCAGATTTGCAGAAAAATTAACATTTTATTGCCATCAAAGAAGGCTGATGTTCTGCAGATTATGAAGCCTTTGTCTTTCCGCTAATCTCAATGATAAAAAATACTTTACTAATTTTTTTTTTACTTTTAAAATTGGAACTTTCTTTTGGCAAAAAATTATTCTTTTGTTACATGTGGTAGCAACTAAAAGCAAACCAAATCTTAGCAGCTAACATTTAGCCGACAGCTAACATTTAGCTGATAGCTACATGTTAGCTAACATGTAGCTGATAGCTACATGTTAGCTAGCTTATCTAGCATTAAATACCATGTTAGTGCTATGAATAGCTGTTGTTCAGATAACTTGTTACTAAAAGATTAGCTTGCAACACACAGTGGCATTGTGTTTGCAACCAAATGGTGAATAGAAAGAATGCGTTTTTATGTTTTGTTTGTATTTCTTAGTTGAGCATACAGTTAGCCCAGTGGTTAAAGTAGGATTTGCCAGGTGGGGGTCCCTAGGTTCAGGTGTAGCAGAGACAACTACATCCTCCTATACATATATATAAGCTCATGTTACGTTTGCCATTACAGGTGCTTTGTAACTTCTTGACAGTATAAAGCTGGAATTCTGCAGTTTTTACTAAAGAACATGATACACTTAAATCAATGACATCTTCTACAAGTGAGTCCTCCTACTTAGCAGCCATATTAAAAAGCATCTGAACACTAATATTTGCATTTACCTTGAAGCATTATTTAAATTAGCTTTCATTTTAAAGGTCAGCAGGACACACAAACTTTATGCATCGAATATTCAGAGAGTTTGCTGACTCTTCACACAGATGGGATTTTAAAAGCTTCTCCTCTGGTATTCATAAAACTTTCGTTCTATCTAGAATTCTCTCATAAGTTTCAGTTTAGACTTGAGGGTCCTATCTTTCTCTTACAGTGTCTCAGATTTTAAACCCACCAGTGACCAAGGATATCACAGTCTGCCCTGCATCAATCCAACATAGTTCATCACTGAAAACCAGAGCACAACACTGCAAACGACCTGCTCTTAATATCTAGTAAAATATTGAGGAACATGGAATTATTGTCATTTAAAAAACATGTTGGAATATGAAACATCCCTATGTCAGCAACACATCATCTATAGATCCAGTATCTGAATAATAAAACTTTGAAATGAATTAGAACATTACATATAGACTTTAAAGTTGATCAAATGACACTTCCTGAGCACCTGGACCGCCTGGGAATCCCAGGTGCTGTAAGCTTTGGGCAGCACAGTGCTTAGGACTGTTGCCTCACAGCAAGAAGGTTCTGAGTTCAATTCCACCATCAGGCCGGGGTCTTTCTGTGTTGAGTTTGCATTTTCTCCCTGTGTTTGCGTGGGTTCTCTCTCTCCTCCCACAGTCCAAAGACATGCAGTTAGTGGAGCTGGGTTAACTGGTCACTCTAAATTGCCCGTAGGTGTGTCTGTGTCGATGTTTTAGCCCTGAGACAGGTAATTTTATGTAGAAAATAAAGTGCAGTACCAGGTGACTACATTCTGAAGTGTTGTAAATGATCACACCAGTGATAAAGTTAAATAATAAAATCAAAATCCTAATTTAGGTTTAATGAACTCACAGAAGGTTTAACGGCAGGTTACAAAGTCAAAAGTTGACCTTGATTTCTTTTACAGAACACAACAAAAGCCATTAAAAGCGAAGCTCCAGTTAAGGTACCAGTTGAGGAACCGTTGTCCACCCAGTCCGAGCCTGAAGAAGCCGTGTCTCCAGCACATGTCCCCTCACCCAGCAGAGAGAAGTCCAGAAAGAAAAGCTCAAAACCCCCTAAACCCCCTAAACCACCCAAGCCTCCCAAACCTTCAAAGACGCCCAAGCCTCCGAAGGTGCCAAAGGTCAAGGAAGGAGGAAAGAAGAAAGCAAAGTCAGCAAAGGAGTCATCACCACCTCCTAAACCCTCCAGTTTTGCTGCGCTGGAGTCCCATGCAAAGGACATTTTGAGTAAAATGGACCAGCCAAAAAAGCCTAAGGTGAGCATTTAGTTATGTTAGCACTTTTTTATAGAAATGATGGTTTCTAGTTTCATTGTAGGTCAACCGTTCTGTATCTGATTATGCTATGAAGTGTTCAGCTGCTGCCTGCAGGCAGCTGTAAAGTGTTAGCATATATAACTGGCTGCACAGCTTCCCCTGCTAGTATGCATTAACTGGTGCACATGCTAAACAGTCTTTTTTTAATCAAAGAAGTGCGTCTATGTCTACGTAAGGGTGGCCGTTGCTCGGTCATATACCAGGTCATCGTTTTTTAACTGCAGAGGTGTAACATCTGTGAAAATGATTGTATGTATAAGCATTGAATTAAGATTTTATAGATTAGACATGTGATACACAGTTCAGTTAAACTCTTTCTGCAGTTCCACTTTCTGCCTTTCACCGATTGATCGTTCTGTTATGTTTCTCTGTAATTGCTTTCATTTTCCAGGCTGTTAAGAATGTCCTGAGCATGTCTGAGAAGGAAATGTCAAAGCAGAACAATGTGGAAAAGTTTGATATCAGAGAGCAGAATAAAAACAAGACTGAAGCGAAATGGAAGTACAAGGTAAGTTTACCGGAGCTGTTATTTTAGACTAATGGTGGTGAAGACTTTCGCCTTGGCCTGCAACAGCCAATGCATTTGAAATTCTTTAGGCAATAAGCTATGAAGGTTACAAGTTGAGCAGCTGAATAGAAAAAATGCAGGACCATCCAACAATGATTTGAACACTTCACTTCAAAGCAATCAGCCAAAGTAATGATGCGGCCCAAGTCGCACATTTGAGGCCTGCACCTCATCAGGGCTTCTCCAGAAACGTCCGCCCTCCCAGAGTTTACCTAATGGAATTACGCCATGTCCATATCCAGTGCATTCCATCTAAGTATTTACATATGCCCCCATCTCCTTTTAAAGCGTGTTGTATCGTTATTGTAGAACAACAGGAGGAAGTTTTTAGCAGGGAGAAAAAGAAAGTGTAATTTTGGTGAACGGAAGACATTAGAGGGCTTTAGTTTCTTGGAAAATACAATGCCAAACTGCTGTGGAATGTATTAAACCCCTCCAAGGACCTCCATCCCACTGCTCGTTCACATCAGGCCAAACATTTACAGATGGGGAAGAGACCCCGTTAGACCTTTACCAAGGTCACTGACGACCACATCTTCACTTGTGATCACTCTTCATTTGTGCAGAGGCTCGCAGCTTCTCTGTTAGGTCTATAAAGCTCGTCGGTGTCGCACGGGAGTGTGAAATTTCTGTTTCAGATTACAGCGCGTAGGAAACAAAAACAGCTGAGGAGTGAATATTTGAAAATGTGAAAATGGATGTTCTTGGGTTTCAGTTAATTACAGTGTGATCAGTGGGGACTTTCATGGCAGTCGTTCTGCATTCCTCTATGTGGATTTGGTTTAGTGAAAATTGGGTCAGAAAATTTGACCTGTTGGGTTTAACATCATGAGGTGCTCACTCTTTTAACAGCAAGGTTTATTTTAAGAGTTGATGAAACAGTTGATGACAGCGTCTTTTCTTTTTTTAAATTCTGATTGTTTAACAGGTTTCCTAAAGTACACAAGGACTGAGAATCTTTATGTGCCAAGTTTTAGATCATTTCTTCATTTATACGATTACTTTTTTAAGTTCCAGGTAGCTACATTTACATTGAAGTGTAAAAATGAAGGCATGAGACAGAGGCCACATTTCCTTTAAACTTCAGCTAGAATCAAAACAGTGAGCTAAGAGAGGCTCAGATGCTCTGTAGAACTGAGGGAACATAGTTATATGCAATTAATCTTTCCTTTGAAATAAAAGTACAGAGTCGGTTTAAATTGGCATGAAGTGTTCTCATTAATGCAGTGAACCAGAAATAGCGACACCAAGATATCTGTCATCCTCTCTGTTCTTTAACATAACGCTGATTACTTTTAGCTTCTCTGACATTATTTTCCTTGGAATGTTGCAGAATAGTAAACCCGATTCCCTGCTGAAAATGGAGGAGGAATGCAAATTTGACAGAACACTGCTGTCAAGCAATAAAGACAGATTCAGCTTTACTATGTCTCACAGGAAACTGCTGAGGTATGTATGGAATGGCTGCGATCGCCACGTAAATGTTCGACTTCAGGTCTTTGAAGAGACGAGCACGCCAGCTTTCTCATGTGGTGTATTTTGGTGATTGTAGAGCCATGTGGCTATCAGCAGCATATCCATTAGAGCTAATTCAAGGACTTCTCGCTGCGAGCGCCTGGCTGAGCCTCGTATCACTCCCTTATTGTCCTGCGGTTTCATTTTCAGCTCCAAGACCCTGAAACCTCAGACCAACTCAAGTGTTTTTGGATCATTACAAAACCTAAAAGAGGACAAAACCAAGCCAGTGATAGACGAGTATGAGTACGTCTCAGATGAAGGCGAGCTGAAGATTGACGAATTCCCCATCAGACGGAAAAAGAACACTGTTAAGAGAGATCTTTCCTGTGAGTATTTTGGGCTTATTTGGTTCGTGTTTCAGTTTGTTTAAATTATCAAGTTAGACTGGGCAATTTTCAGAGTATCGGCTTCAATGCGTATGTATCAAAAAGTGCCAAAGATTTACTCAGCGTTAGACTTGAAGTTGATATACTCTTGATCTGGTATTTCCTGTTCTAAATTAAAAACATGTTTAGGGGCATGTTTTAGCTCTGTAAAATGATTTTTTAAGACAGATGCATTAAACAGTTTGGTTTATTTTTGTACATAAATAATGGTTAAAGCCGGGCTTTTGTTCAACCATTCTGACATTTCAGTTTTTGCTTAACATCTGGGAAAAAAAGCTTTGTTTGAGAGATTAAGAACTGTGACAACATCAGCCTACACGGCACAAAGCATCACTGCTGTTTTGATTGCTGACCTAACTGTAAAATTACTACTTTTTTAATGACATAGTTATCAGATGATTGACTAAATTTTCAGTAAAATTACAAAAAAGAAAGAAAATCTCGGCAATTCAAGTCGAATTACTTGCATTTACATAATGTGTTGTTAAAGAAGAGCAAGCCCTGTTTTGTCACGAGTTAGTATATACAGCTCGTTTGTGACTGTAGCTGAAGGAAGTTCAGCTAAAGACGAAGTATGAATAACAAAAGTGTCCACTTTAACTCTAAAAATCTCTAACTTGTGGTAGCACGAGTTACCACAGCGTTGTTGTTAGTAGGGATGGGTATTGTTTAGGTTTGATGTTTAGCTGTTTTCCACTTTTTCTTTGGTCATTTTAGCCTTTTTGTCCAGGGTGAAGGGAGTATCTGCCATCAAACAAGAAGACAGCCGCATGTAGCTATGATGATGTTTGCTAGTTCACCTTACATGCATTAATGTAATAACGTGGTTAGCCTACTCAACGTAAATTACACGAACAACATTAAGCTACTCACGCAGAGAAGAACGGCTGCTGCTGCATCATCATCCTCATCATTTCTGCTACACTGGCAGGGCTAGGGGCCAGGACTCTCCTCTTCGGGTTTTTGGGGGATGTTGCTAACTCCGGGTCCGATAACAGGCACCACACCCGCAGTCGATGTGCTCGGTGTGAGGTCTCGCAGCAAGCTATCAAATACGGCGCATTTCTCGGCTCTTAACAAAATGCTATACGTCGCCAGGTGTTTCATCGGATTCGAGGTGTTGCCTCCTTTGCACAGTATCAGCTTAAAGCACTTGTTGCAGGCTGCTGAGTTTGCATCTTTTGCTGTGAAGTACAGCCAGACTTTTGACCGCTTTGCCTTGGTCATTTTTAATCTGCTCTAAAAGAACATACGTACCTGGCCCCGCCTACTATGCTTGCAAAGGTAAAATGATTGGCTAGAATCCAAAGTGTATGACATCTCAGGGAAAAAAAGCATCGAAATAAAGCACCGAAATGTGCGCTGCTTTTCAGTCTGGTTACTACCGTTTATGTCAGATGGCACCGGATACCGGTACCCATCCCTAGTTGTTAGTCTTATTGGAAGACTAGTCTTAAAATGTTACTAATTCCGATGTTATGGTGCTGATTGTTACATTTGTTTTTCCCTAGTTTTATCAGACATCAGAGAACCTATTCAGCCAGCCAAAAAAACAAAGTTTCAACCCTCGGTGACTAAGGTATGTACGACATCACCTGTATCTGCTATTCCCAAACGTTGGAACACTGAGGCCCAGCTTGAAAATCGTCAGCCTCCCACGTTAATGAGAAAAATAATCAATGCAAAATTAGTGCTTACATTTTTGTTTAGGTTGATTCTCATAAACAGTTGTCCTTTTGCAAACTGCAGTAAGATGTAAGCTCCAGTTCTGCGCCTTTGTTTTATTATATTTGATGACATTTTACACTAAGCTTTAACATGTGAACATCAGTATTTATGAGACATTCAAACAGAATGACAAAATGTAAAAATTTTATACTTGTTTATTATTTGTAAAATAACTTTTACTGCCCACCTACAGTAAGTTCTATGTGCTGATGAAGCATACTAATAATCCCAAAAAATAATACACACGACCTGTGTGGTGGAATCACTTTGGACAGACGCGCACACTCGATAAATGTAAAGTTTTTGCACTTAACAGAGAATTGAATGTTTTGGCGTTTTATCCATAAAACTTAAGCAGTTATGACGTTAATGTGATACATAAACAGACTGTGAAAAAATTCTGCAGTGCTCCTTTAACTCAGAGGCGGAGACTTCCTGTGCTGTGGAGCCACACACACTGATGAGAGAAAGAGCTGTGGCATGAATGGAGGAAGAGGAAGAAAAAGCCTAGACCAAATTTACTAATGAGAGGTCACTAGAACCCATATCACAGCCTTGATCTGCAGTTTCCCCGGATATTTCAAATTCTGTGTTGTTGTGATGCCATGCCACTCATTTAAATACATATTAAAATGAAAGATTATAAATAGATGTTAAAACTGAATTTTGTCTTTTTAATGAAAAAATTATATTTTTGAATTTAACAACATGTTTCAAAGAAGCTGGGACGAGAAAACAGAAGACTGAAAAAAGGACAAAGAACATTTTAGCTCTAATGTGATTAATTAGGAACATTTTTATTTAATCACACTGGATATAGGTAAACATAATGACTCCATATTGTAATGGTTCATACAACATGTGACACGACACCATCCACTGGGAGCATTTGGTATAAAAACCTGTTAAATGAAACGTGTGTATACTAATCCTGCTGTGACAGAACGGTGCAAAGAAAGTAGCTTAAACATTTCTGGTAAAATAGAAGATATGAAGAGGTTCATCACGATGAGGAGGACATTTGATTTAAGGCTTCTTTTTGTGGTTCATGCAATTAATTATTGATTAAGAGAATATAAAATAATCTATGTAGCAAAGGGACAAGACTGAAAACCAGTGTTAGATTATCACTATCTGAAAGCCCTCAGCCAGCAAGGCTTTAAGAAGAAGTTTAAAGACAGTATCAAACTGCTTACTGTACACACTGCAATAGAACAGAACCACAGAAGAAGAGCCCTGATGCTAAAGTGGCTGGGTGACAGTCCACATGTGTCCCCCACTAACTATTGGCATTTCATGAAATGATGTCAAAAGATAATTTAACACTAAAGCAGCTGGTGTCGTCCTAAATCTCTGTAGTGTTGTACAAAGAAAGTTGAAATTTTAAAAAAGCACGGCGGCATTAAAATAGAGCTGTTAGATAAACTGTCACTATTAACATTAAAATGTGGGTTTTTTTATTCACAAATCTATTCTTCGAAACGAGGTTGTAGTTCCATACTGGATCAGCAGATGGAAAAAGTGGGCAAATATCCCAGGGGTCCAGTCCTGAGGGGCTGCAAGTGCCCTACATTTGCTTAGAGTGTCTTTGTGTGGGGTAAGGTTAGTAAATGAGAATGTAGTCGACAGCAGAAGAATCAAATATCAATATTGCCTGTTTTTGCATCGTTCTAAAAACATTTATGTTAAAGTGAATAACTAAAAAGGGGCTGACGGGGGCAGACGGCTCATTTGTGCCCTGGGGCCTCCTACTGAGACTTTCTGGCGGCAGTCCTATGATAAACAGTGAGACTGCAGTAAAGAAGCCATTACAAGAAAAGCGAACATGGATTTTCCTTTTTTTGCCAGAAAAGGAAAGAAACTTGAAGTCTCTCTCTCTCATGTCTCTTTCCTGTACGTTCACTTCCTTCAACACCAGAGCACAGACTCCTCAGATGAAGAGACGCTGCACATAGACACGGAGGCCAAGCCTGAGGTCAAAAGTCGCAATTCCAAGGTGAAGAAAAAGAGCGGCAGCGCCGCAGGAATTCTGGACCTGCTGCAGGCCAGCAAGCAAGTGGGTGGCATCGACTACGGCACCAACAGGTAGACTAACCTAACCCGATGTCAATTTTCTGCTGCATTCCCATCAACACCAGCAGAACTTGGACTTCTAAACTCATTTGAGTTAGAGTACATGCGCAGCATTAATCTCTAAATGGCTCCCGCTGGACCCCCTTTTCCTTCAGTAAATGAATTTTAGCTCTTCTTAATGGACCGAGGCACTGACAAACAAATGGCCTACTCAGCGGCGACGTAATTGGATGAAAAAGCTGAATTTTACAGCTTCGCTCAGAGCTGAAAAATCAGCTAGCGGCTGGAGCAACAGTTTACACCGATTCTGTCAGCAGTTTGTGTTAAGTCAGTGTTTGTTTCATCCCGTGTTAATCTATCAAACGCTGCGTGGCTCCAGGCTCTTCCCTTTGCCTTTTGCTGTTTGCGAGCTCTTGATGGTCTATTTCCACCACACTGAAAGCTACAAATGAGCAATGAAAGAAAGAAAGAAAACATTGATGAAATATGTTAATTTCTCACATCGTTGGTGCTTTGAAGAGGGGCTGAAGCTTCATTATAGCGGTGTGTGATAGTCGCTTTGTTTCTTGTGGCAGCTCAGCAGGTGATAGCTTAATGGGTGTGTGGATTCATTTTGGGAGCGATGTCTTAAAGAGGATATTTGTTTTTGACAGTTTTCCTTCCTCTTTGTTCCACTGAGGCACAGTTTGTAATCTAGCTTACACCCAGATCTGGTTCAGAGCCTTCTTCAGTTCTTTCTTTCTTTCTTTGACCTCTGCCAGCGTGTTGACCACCATGTAATGGCTGTGTTGTTGTGTATTTCTTATTGACATACTTACAGTCAGCCACCTGCATCTCCCAGCACACAGGAGGCCATTCAGGGCATGCTGTCCATGGCCAACCTGTCGTCTTCAGAGAGCTTGCAGCAGCCGTGGAGCAACAGCCAGGCCAAAAACAACGGCCAGTCGAAGAACAACTCGCACAGCTCGCAGGCCGGCAAGAAGGCCGGCAGAGGAGGAGGCGGAAACAACAGCAAGCGGTCGACTAAACGTCTGCCAAAGAAACCCAGGAAGAGCAGCAGTATTGAGAGTCTAGATTATGACGACGACCAAGATCACATGGATGCGTGTTTCAAGGACTCGGATTACGGTAAGCGACAAATGCCATCTTGTTGTTGTTTCCTTATTTTCCTGTCATCGTGGGCAGGGTGGGGTGACGGCGGTAACGAGTGTCATTTTTCCATGATACTGGTGCTGGTCAAGTTCCAAAGCATTCCCTGTTTTGCCCTATTGTACCCAGGATGTGTTTTTTTCAGCTACAGTGTACTTTATGAATTTATAAGTCACACCTACCTATTGTCTGGGCAGAACCACAGGAAACCAAGAAAATGCTGAAAATGAGACAAAAACACGAACTGAAAAGATAGTGTGTTTCTGGATGGCTGTCTTTCTAAGCTTAGACCATCAGAGTGATGAAACTAGGAAACATTTCATATGCTGGAGTCTTGGGATTGCATTAACCTCAAAAATGTCTCCAAAAAAACATGCATGTTTATGTGTGCTCCTCCCCCTACACACAGAGTGGAGCAGGAAGCCGTCACTAACAGAAAACACCTTTTAACCAAAATATTAAAACAGCTCATCCAAACAACCTCTCACTCAGCGCTACACCCGATTACACCCACCAGCTTTGAAGGGCGTAGGATGAATGACTTTGGAGAGCAGACGTAAAGAGATTTCTCTAATTAGAAGTGGGATAACTTTAATCATGGTAAAACATTCTTGTAATCAGGATCAGGAATGGGAATGTGTATCAGGATGTTGTCATTGCGTCTGTTAGCTTCAAAGAGATGGTTTGCAAAATGTAAACAAATACACGCTTTAAAAACGAGCTTCATGAAGGTTTGTACTGGAACTGTTCTGTTGTTCGCCTTCATATTAATGCACCAATAATTGTCTTTAAGCATTACATGAAAAGTAGCTCCACACAAGAGACTGAGAATTGCTTTGAACTGAATAACTGTTTGGCTCAGTGGAAAAACGGATATTCAGACATAATCAGACTTTAGTTTTGATACAAAGGATTTAGAATCAGAAGATCCTAAAAGTAACTAAAGGCACGGTGACTGTGTCCACAGACAGTAACCTGTGCAATTGTTTCAGTGAGAGAATCACATCCATGTTTAAGATAAGATAAGATAAGATAAGATAAGATAACCTTTATTAGTCCCACACGTGGGAAATTTGTTTTGTCACAGCAGGAAGTGGACAGTGCAAAAGTTATGAGGCAAAAATTAGGATACAATAAGAATAAATACAGTACACAACTGTACAGAATAGAATAAAATAAAATACTATATACAGTAGAATAAAATAAAATAAATATACAATAAGATAAAAATAGAATACAAATACAAATACTATATACAACTGAGTAAAAATACAACGATGCCAGAAAGGATTATTGCACTTAGTGTTATTGCACATGTATGGATGTGTGTGTTTGATCAGTTAAAGTCTTTGTTGTGGAGTCTGACAGCAGTGGGGAGGAAAGACCTGCGAAATCTCTCCGTCCCACACCGTGGGTGCCGCAGTCTCCCACTGAAGGAGCTGCTCAGTGCTGTCACAGTCTGCTGCATGGGGTGGGAGACGTTGTCCAACAGGGATGACAGCTTAGCCGCCGTTCTCCTGTCACTCACCACCTCCACTGGGTCCAGAGGGCATCCTAGAACAGAGCTGGCCCTTCGGATCAGCCTGTTCAGTCTCTTCCTGTCCCCAGCAGAGATGCTGCCGCCCCAGCAGACCACACCATAAAAGATAGCAGAAGCCACCACAGAGTCATAGACTGCAAAGCTCCCCGAGAGCCTGAAGATCCCAGATATCAGCACTGATTTCTTCACATTATCCGACTCTTCTGATGACGCACGATGCCATCGTCAAAGGCTTTGCATTCAGGAACATTTTTCTGAAATTGTTCAGCTATTTGAAGATGCATTTTTTTGAACTTTTTTACTATTAAGGAGCTCTGCCTCTACAAGGTGCTCTTTGTTGGACCCAATCTGCCAATTTTAGGACGTGTCCGTGGCATCAAAACCAGTCGAACAGTTTTAAGAGTGCAACCCTCAATCATCTTGAATCATATTTTGTAGGATTTGTTGGAAAAACTAAAAATGAAAAGACTCCCTCACTGAGATTTCTCACGTTTTGCTGTTTCTAAATGCATAAATCTAAAACACAGTAGTTGCAATGTCTTTATATTTTATCATTTATATTTATTTGGGTCTTAAAGGACCTTAAAACACATTTTTGTTACATTATTATTTTTATATATTTTTTTAAATTGCAGTGCTTTTAGTGGTTCACTATTATTTTATTGCGCTTTTTTGTTTCGTTTTGTTTTCTACATCAATAAAGTTGAATGTGCAGGAGGGCTGATTTATTCAAAAACTAAAAACAGTGCAGCTGATCGGAGCTCTGTGAGTTCAGTCTGGTGTCATTTTCCAAGCGCATGAATGAGAAAATAATGTATCTGCCATGTCTGATCCTCACTGCTGCTAACAGGTGCTTTAAAAACAAATTGGCCCCTTATGTATCTGCTTGTGGAGCTTAATTTCTCAATTTGGCCTGGAGCTTTTCATTACGTGTACGTGACACGGGCTTATGTTTACTTTTCGTGCGTCTCTTTGGGTTTTTTTTGCTCCAGTTTATCTTTTTTTCCTGCAAAATGCTTTCCCTGTGAAGCCCATCCAAACACAGCTGTTTGGAGCCTCCTAGCTTGTTAATAAGCGATTAACACGCGTTCCAAACGGTTATTTTACAAGCTTTTTGAACTTCTAATTGGTCCAATTAGTTGTTCTTAGCACGAACATTCTCGCTCTGAAATCCCGAAGCTTCTCCCGCAGACTGGCACTCTGCTCTGCTTTTATAAACAGGTCATTTTTTATCTTGATCATCCAATTATCAGATATTAAAAGGTCTAGATTGGAATGGCTGCACTGTGAACCGACAGTCAACAGCTGCTTTGCAGCTGCACCGCATGCTGCCACCTCCTCCGTTTTACAGAAAACTGAAGTAATTGCAGCTTTTCTTTGCAACTTCTCAGCAATGAGCTAACATGCATGACATGTGAGTAATCTGTTCCACGTTTCGATTTTAGTTTACCCCTCGCTGGAGTCCGAAGAGGATAATCCTGTGTTCAAATCGAGATCAAAGAAACGGAAAAGCAGCGACGACACTCCGTACAGCCCCACAGGTGAACACTGGCATTGTTTAAGAAGCATCTTGGCTTCAGAGTTTTATGAAAGAAATATGTTCTAAACCCCAATATGGATGTCCTGGCAGCCCGCGTAGGACCATCAGTTCCCCGACACGAGCGGCCAGCCAGAGATGGAGCCCGGGTGGCGTCCATAGAAACAGGCCTGGCTGCGGCTGCAGCAAAGCTTTCCCACCAGGTAAATTACTTACACTGTATTCTTACACAACTGTAGATATTTCTGATCATTTTGCTCAAACAAAAAATGATGTGTCAAAAGGAGGAACAACAAAAAACCAAGAAGAAGAAGAAAAGCACCAAAAAGAAGGCGCTAGTAATAGAGGAGCCCCCGAAAATCTCTCAGGACAGTAGCTCGCCGGAGCACAATCTGGACTCCCAGGACGGCAGCCTGACAGACCACGAGTTCAACACTGGAACGGTCAAGTCACCGGGAGGGCCGCAGCCCATGGCGCCCGGGGTCTTCCTCAGCCAGAGACGGCCGTCCATGTCCTCTCCCAACAGCACCAACTCCACAAGCACCAACAGCAGCGGCATGGCGAAGGGTGACCGTGTGGGCTCAGCAGACGCCAAAGGTGAGCACGTGTACAGAGTGTGGAGTGTGCAGAAGAAAATACACAACGGATGGTCCCGTCATCCTCAGAGCAACTGTCACTGGTTGTTGGTCCTGCAGAAACAGACAGAACTTTGTGCCTCACAGTGATGACTTCTAAATATATTTCCCTTTAAACCATTGCAGTGTATGTTATGAGCGATTTAACGCCAATGTAACAGTGTGTTTCCGAGAGAGGAAAAAAGGAAAAGCATGATAGGTCCCCTTTAAGCACAGGCACGGCTATTTGTTCGTTAGAAAATTTCAAATGCTGCGTGTAAAGTCTTTAAAGCTTTAGTAATCTGTGGGATTGAGATTTCACTTCCCGTGAATAAATTTGAATCACTCGCCTTCTTTACACAGAGATTCTTGTAGCAGCTTTTCAGTAATGGAGCAGTAATGAATGAATATCTAATGGCTTTTAAATTGAGCAGTTTTTCAGGGAAAAGAATGTTTTCCATCTTGCCAAATGAAAGTTCTTTCCAGGATTTTTTTTTTTTTTACAATTTCTAAAGCTTCATCCGGACTAGTAATCAATAATAATTAGCAAATAACAGTTTGGTTTGGCGGCCGCTGCTCTTTGAGCATGCAAAGTGCAACCTATTGTAATGAGAGACAGTTGTGTGAACTGTTGTGAACTGCCAATGATGGATACTTAGTGGGAGTGACTCCCTCCTCCAGGAAATGCGTCTCACTTAAAGGTTTTCTAGGGATCCTTTTAGGTAGCGTCTCGTTAATGCATTGCTTTTTAATTTACATTTGCATGTGGTTCTTCCCGCCAGTATTGAAATGACATTTAGACATGTTATTTAACAGAATTTTAAACGATCTGTCTTGTTCCCCTCTGCTGGCCACAACACAACATGCTATAATTTGGCATTAACTTTTAAAAGTGCCCATTTTGTCAGAATAGCAGGCGCACTGGCATTAACTAAAATTAGCCAGAAGAAAGATGCCAAAGCACAAACAGTCCCACTGCTGCAAATCCCACTTGTTGTTTACTGTAGTTATCCCATTCAGCCAAGTTTGGCTTGATTAGGCAAACACTTAACGCAGCAGCGAGCTGCATGATCTGAGTTTGCATGCTGCCTAATGTTACTAGCAAAGTAGTAATATTACAAATGCAAATGCTTATATAGCACTTTTCTACCTGAGCACTCAGTAAAACTAGTCTCATTCATGCAGGCACTGTGTGCTACGCTTTGTGTCTAACAAGCGTCAGAGAACAGCTTGGGGTCAGTATGTTGTCAAGTATAGTTGGTATGCAGACTGCAGCACCCAGAGGTAAAGTCAGCGATGACCTCTTTACCTCCTGAGCTACAGCCACTGTTTAACGGTTATAATGTTTAATATAAACGTTGGCGCTGGCACGGCTGGCAGCCTTAACCCAATTTTCCTCGGGATGAATAAAGTATGATCAATCAATCAATAATACAAACATGACATTAGTGATTGACTCCATTACTAACCCACACATGGTCTTTTGCTGCTGTAACCATCTGTTTCAAGGTTTGACATGGCGTGGGTTCAGAGATGCTCTTCTGCTTGCCTTTCCTGTAGTGAGGGGTTATTTGAGTCGCTGCTGCTGTCCTGTCCGCTCAGAGCAGTCTGGCCATTCTGACCTCTGCCCTTAACAAGGCATTATTATCAGTATAATTGTAGGGTCTTTACCGTCAAATATAAAGCGTCTGGAAGCGATTGTGCTTGTGATCTGGCGCTATTTAAATGAGATTGAACTGAATTGCATTTTCACCCAGAGAACTGCCACCAACTGGATAGTTTCTCTGTTTTGAGCCATTCTGTGTTAGTGATGGTTGTATGCTTGTGAGGGGAAATCCCAGTAGGTCAGCAGTTTCTCAGACCAGTCCATTCAGAGGCACTTAAATCACCTTTCTTTCCCCTTTCTATTTGGACTGAACTTCAAAAGGTCATGTGGTGACATGTGACTGTGTAATTAGATATTTGTCTTTCGTAGCTGGACCGGACATTCCTAACAAAGTATGCGGTGAGCGTAAGTCTTTCCACTGTCTGTTGGACACACGCAAAAGTCTGGAACAACATGTTCAGACAGTGTTGATGAAAAATCACTATCTTCCTGTTAAAAGGGAGTTTTTCCTTCCCACTGTCGCCAAAGTGCTTGCTCATAGGGGGTCATATGATTGTTGTATGTATTATTGTAGGGTCTACCTTACAATATAAAGCGCCTGAGGTGCTGTTGTTGCCCTGTGGGGCTCCTGTTGGGTATGAGTATGTTAAACATGTTTGTGCTATTAGGCCAATGAACATGTTCCAGCATAAAGGCCACTAAGCTAGCAAATATTGGTGCGAACATGTCAGGATGTATTACTTTGTTACATTTTTGGAAACAAAATGTTGTAAGCTGGCTCAGCATCTTACCTCTTGTCTTTTCTTGTCTTTCCTGCAGCTAAGCGGCTAAAGAAAGGCATGGCAACAGCCAAACAGAGACTTGGAAAGATTTTAAAGATCCATCGAAATGGAAAGCTCCTTCTGTAGCATGCAGCGGACTGTCGTAGGACTGGGAATTCACGAGCTGGGTCCCATCCCAACCTCAGCCCCCCGTTCACCGATTAAAGCCAACGACGTGGAAAAGAGATAAAAGACTGAAACGAGATGGGAGAAGAAGAAAATCATGCATTTTTGAATTTCTAAGAAGAACATCAGTCAAATAGGTTTTTGCCTCTACTTATACTTTATAACTTTCAGATATTAAAAGTGTACAGAACCTACTATAAATATTTTTTAAGAGAACATGTCTCATTTTACTACAGCTGTGAGTTTATCAGGGGTTGCTAAAACATGAAGTAGAATTACATTGCAGTCATTCCAAGATTTGTGAAAGTATCCCTTGCATGTATTCAGTTGCATGTGCGCTTGGGTCAGGGTTTTTTTTTGTTTGTTTGTTGGTTTGTTTGTTTGTTTTTGAGGGTGGGGGGTTATTTCCTACTAACTGGATGCGGCTTATCATTGCCACGCTTGATTGAACTGGGAAAATTCACCTCCTCCTTTCCCAACGTCCTCGTGTTTGATCAGAATCGATTAGCGCGCGTGCGTCTCTGTCGGCGGGAACCTTTGTTCGTTTGTGCCGAGCCGTGGATCGCAAATGAGGAGCGACTATAAAGCACAAAAAGCGAATCGCGGGCAGCGCCGTCCAGATGTTTGTCAAAGCGAACGCAGTCAGACGGAGGAGGACCGGCCATAGGATTACTGACACTACACGGCGCTGATGATAAGCCTCATCCACGTCACGTCTGCGGTTACATGGGGATACTTTCTCTCTTCTTTTGCTTTCCCAGGCAGCACCGACAACATAGGCGCATCTCTGCATTTTTATAGCTTCACACATCACAGTATATAGAATGTAGCTTGTACATAGCCTTTTAAATTACTACTTTTTGTATCCTTTCCCCTTAAGGCTTCATTCAGCATTTTTACCGGTTTTGCTAATAAGAATAAATGAATAAAAGTATATATATGGATATACACTATAGTCCTAATTTTTATTTGTATTTTTTTTTAATAACAGAGGTTCACTTTTATTATTATTAGTATTATGTTGTCATTAGACGTAAAGGTGTTGCCTGGAAAACAATCGAAGACACGATACATTTTATTGTCATATGGCCTTACATACACAAAGCTAATTGTATTGTGATTCTGTCTGAACGAGAGACGAAGCTTTGAGGGAAAATTACATAAAAGGATTAAAAAAAGCAACACTTAAAGTTTCTATGACCAGCCTCTTGTTCGAGTTCTAGTATCCTGAAGGGTTTTGGAGTTATTTTACTAGCACCTTGTGAAGTGTTTATGTGTCAGTGATGTAATTTATTAATGTTTGTAGCTTTTTTATACTTGTACAATTCTAAAGAGTTTTTGTTTTCTTTTGGTTTTGAATATTTCATCAAGTTGTGAATTTACCCTTTACTTTTTGTTGCTTTCTTTTTTAGGCGTTTGTGTATTTGGGGGGCGCCACGGACATTTGACACACTAGAACCCACGTTGGCAAACTTTTTTATCTACACCCTGTCTCCAACCATTTCCAATGTGACATGATTATCATTACTATTGTTGATATTATGGTTCGAAGCAGCCGCGTCCACACCTCCATCACACCTCGGGTTGTGTTTTTTTCCACGTTATTTTGGTCAGGACATTTTCGACATGGTCTCAGTGCGCTCTGCTTTCGTCTCCGAAACGCTCTGATCAAACACTCTTTTCAGGTTTTTATTTTGTACAATACGTGTGTTGCTTTGTTGTGGTTTATTTTTGTATGTCCGACCTATTAAATGCATCCACTGTGCCAGGACAGTGAATGATACCTGTTGTAGCTGTCTTCCCTTACTGTTCTTCACAGTACTACCAAGTATTTACAATCCTTTTTGACCTGAAATATATTTTTCTGTATTTAGACGATTCTGTTGGAGATCATAGCTCACTTTTCTAAGACATGGAGAAATGGCAAATTCAACTCCGAGGAACAAACATATTGTTGTTGAATGATATGATTGTCCGCCTTGTTTACTTTTGCAATACAGTTACTGTGGAAAACCTACTTTGTAATGTGTTCCTGTCCCACCTGCGTTGTGACAGTTTGTGTGGTGAACACTAAACATGGTTTCTTTTTGCTTTCCTGCTTGACACTGTCCTGCTTAAAAGTCACTACGCACATCATCGGGCTCTTGGACTCCTCCCACAGCTCTAGCCGAGTCATTAATTAAAACCAGGCCAAAGTCAACACCATTAAAACTGTATTAACTTAAAAAGCGCTCCAAAGCAGTCCGACTTTTTTCACAGCAGGTGTGGCTGCGGTTAAATGTCCTGTGGGCAAGAAGTGAAGACGCAGAATGTGCTCAGTGAAGAGAGCTACATCAAACCTTTACTGCCTCGCGACGTTTGACGTTGTTCTTAAATCTGCAGTCAGACAGTCAAGAGTGGAGCAACAGCGAGTCTGTGCCACTAGATGGAGTCAAAAAATGTGTCTATGGAGAGGAAGCTTTCAAGTCCAGCACATGGAGAAATACAAGAAATAGGTGCCGATTTTTACCAGCAGAGAGGATGTTAGTAAAAATGGTTACGTTAATTACTCTTCAGAGTAGAGGTGCATTGACATTAAGCTTT